TTGTTTAAGTTATCTCTACTTTTGTAAAGTGTCATATAAATCAAGTTGAGTTGAAAATTGAAAATTATTACTTCATAATGGTTGCACTTTTCCTGTCTTGTTCCGGTAACTTTGTTGAACTCAAACTTGATCATTTCCACATTCACTAATCCAAAGTTTTGAACTATATTTCCCCCCAACAAACTCACACCAGCATCACCTTTTTAAACACCTCAGCTCGCAGTCTGTTGCTTTGTGATACAGCCCTTTTTTTCTCTTCCTCTTTCTTCTTAGTCACCTCYGGCAGCTTGTTGTAAATCCTGCAGACACCAAAAAGGGAAAATTCACAATTCACACAAGGGCAGTGGGGGCCACGGTATCAGAGGTCTGTGCATGGCTGAGCTGTGCGAACAGATTGGCATACTAGAGACAAGCTTTTATCAAGTAAGACCACTGGCTGAAAAACAACCAAATAAATAAATAAACCTTGGGCTACCTGATAGCAAGTCACACATYTTCCTGTGCGCAACTTCTGTCAAATTGTTAAGAGATCCTTTAAATCGGATAGACTTGCTTTTGAAGAAAAACAATTACAGATATTCTGAGGTGTGTCTTTCTAGATAAGATGGAAAAGGAGAATAAAGATAGGATTGACAGAAGTTAACTCATATCTCCTACAAAGACATCAAAACCGTGTATCTATATAGTTTTTCGGGATGGGTGGATGTGTATTGTGTGTGTTTGCACGAAAGTAAAATTGATGGATTGTGTTGCGCTGGGAAAAAAAAGTCATCTTCTGACAGGAGGCTTGGTTGAGAAAACTCACCGTCTGGACCTCAGCTGCATCTCTCTGCCTGATATAGACCTCTCTCTTGGCTTGAAAAGGTTATCTGAGACACACACAGACACACACACATGCATAGTGAGCAAGCACACAGGAACAACAAAAAAATTAACATGGAAATGACTCTTGCATATGTAAATGAAGACTGAGCATGAATCTCTCTTTTCTACCCTGCTCACTAYGGCAAACACAAACATCAAACAGGTAACATTCTAAAAAAAACACTGTGTGTTGGTTTATTCAGGCTTATTGTTTCTCTCAACATCATAATTCACTTCTTAGCCAGAGATCACTGAGTTGTGCAAGGATGATTGTTTGAGTTATTTTTCATGATTTTCCCAAATTAAAACTGAAACTGTTTAATATCAGTGTGATGGCAGTACTTTCCAATTACAGTTTTTCAATTCCRGTTTTAACGATTCCCAGTTTGGATTACTTTGGAACACAGGATCAGCCTGGGGATTCTTCCTCACTGGTGTTCAGCAGCTCACTTATGGATTTTTCTTTGTTGGTGTTCGGAAGCTTCCTCTTCCAGTCCAGACCGGGTATCAAAACTATGAATCAAATTTAAAAATTTGTACGGTTCCARGAGAATTAAAAATGTAAGTCCTGGACTGGTTCCAGTTGATACTCAAGCCTTGATTCCCAACGCCAGGTGTCAAACCTTATTAATGTTTTACCTATAAGGATCAAGAACTCATGCTTCTAATGTTGTTGTGGAAAAACCTCAGTTTTAACAACTGAAAAAATGTGTTTCTTTTTGCAGAGAAATTACTTCACACATTATTAGGATTAAACAGTATCATAGCAGTTTGAAAATATCTTTGTAAAGCAGTTATTATATGACTGCCTTTCAGTTTTTATTTATTTCTTCACTTTTGTTTAGTAAAAATCATCAGAAACAGTAAATATCCATTGGATCATTGTGGACGTCTGCCGAAAAACCATCAAACCATACTGTAAATTATTTCACAGTTTATTTTGCAGTACATCTTGGTCTTACTTCTGTATTGTTTGACTTTTGTCTGTAATGTCTCATTATTTTCTGTTTTGCATAAATGTTTTACATTTATGCCTTTAAAAGATAAATATAAATCTACCTTTTTATATTTTAATACATAAATACAGCCTGCATTTCGTCAAAAAGTACCTTAACCAATCTGCAGTACTAAACACTGACCAGCAGAGAGCAAAGTTTGTTAAAAGTAAGAACACTGTATGGGAAATATTACATAATTTTTTTTTGTTCAGAACAAAGTGGTGAAGTCAAAAAGAATTATCTGAGAAACAATCAGGTAGCTTAGAGAAACCTAACACAACGTGACAAGTACTTTATTAATTTAAGTCTGTGCATGTGGCGATCCGGCGCCTGTTTGTCCAGAGAAACTGTAACTCCTAGCAGTCAAGAGAATTTGATGAATGAATCTGTATCTGCAGAAGTGATGCAACAATATCTGAGAATGTAAACGCTGGATGTAGGGGATGAGAGACCACCTGCTCTGAAAGCTATTTTGTGAATCCATAACTTCCAGGATTCTTTATGCTTGAGTGAATACTGCTGTCATTGCTGGTGGTCCAACAGAGAAATGAAAACATTAAAACTGTTTGATGGTGTGCATTGGAAGTGACATCTTCTTAATGAGTTATTTCTGTTATTCCATGTCTTAGTTTGAGTAATGTTGCTGTTCTTACCGCTAAGTGGATCCGGTGTGGTGCAGTTCCTTTTTTGCTTTTTTTGATCTTCTTTTAGGCCTTGCAGCAGGTCCAGATTTGAGTCCTGTAGTGCTTTCCGCCTTCTGGCTCTCTGCTCCAACTTTTTCACTCGACCCTGAGATCGGCTGATGAAGTCTGGCCGGAAGAGCTCCAAAGCCTCCTGGAGCAGAGATGAAGATATACACACTGAGCTGCTTATTTTTAGAAAGAGTGAGTGAGTGTGTGGAAGGGGGTGGTGGTGGTTTTAGCGCACATTTTTTTTTTGACAAAAGACTATTTTTATGTTTAGGTTATGTTATTTGTTATTTTACTCAGATCAAAAAAGAAACAATTGAAAATTTAGAGCAGGGATGGGCAACTTAAACGATGGAAGGGGCCACAATTTTTTGTTGACACCCAAATGTAAAGAAACGGCCATTTTAAAAATGTTTCTGTAGGTTGGTGTAAATAATGCAGTAACTTGACGTATTTCATACTCTAATGCAGCTATAGCACAAATGCACGTTTAACAGTTATGCTTTTGTTGAATAAATATGAATATGGAACATTTGAAGCAAAAAATAAATAGACACTTAGTGAGCTGATGTGCAACGGCATAAGATGTCTTGAGTGCAGACTCCTGCATGGTTCTAGTTCTGGTCTGAAGTTGCTGTTGTTTATTTACTTGTGACTTCAGTAAACCTCATATTTAGCTTTGTGCAACTGTTGTGGTGGCGATTAAATTCTTTCATGGCAGACCACATCTCTAAGCAGACTAAACACATAGGTTTACCTTGAAATTCTGTAAACAGATAGTCTACCCTCCTGAGACCCAGAAAAAAAAAGTTTTGGTATTTAGATTTTTTTTTTCATGGTTCAAGTATTGAAGTTGAAAGAAACATATTGCAACATTTTTTTTCATAAATGTTATTTATTAAAATTTTACCTAATGTCTCTTACTATGGACATTGGGTCTTGCTTGATATACAAATTTTC